TCCAGGCAGCACGCTGGCCTAGGAACATCAGAAGAGGTCAAATCAATGTGACGGGCAATGGGGGAGCTCCCAAAGGGGTAGGGGGCTGGCGGTTGTTGGCGCCCAGCTTGGCAGCAGCGGTCGGTGGCGCAAGTGCAGGGGTGATCATTTTGCATAAACAGCATCCATGTGCACGTTTGATTCATATCCCGGGAGCAACAAGGCTCTGCGTGCAGCGGCAGGAGGGCTGGGGCAGGGAGGGTGGCAGGAGGGCCGTCGGCAGCTCCGTGTGACGCGGGGGTGTCCCGCGGCCTTCCGAAGAGACTCTCAGCAGGCCCAGAAGCAGGCACACAAGTGCAGACTGCTCTCGGCAAATGCATGTCTCCACTAAGCCGGCCATGCACTAACACGGCATTCCACAATGGGCAGCACACGCGCCTGTCCAGCAGCTGCTGCCGCCAACTCCCCCCACACTTCCGATGCCGCCCACTTCGCGCAGCAGCCTCAGAAGCTGCGCCAGCAATTGAGATTCAGGCCTCACAGTGAGCATTGTGTCTGCCACTTGCTGCGGATTGAAGAGAGTGGATGACACCCAGCGACGCAGGCGGCGGCGGCGGGCCCAGGTCAGCGCGCCGCCCAGATGCATCTAGAGGCTGGGCCCTCCCCTTGTAGCGCTTTCCCCGCTCCCCTAGTTGCCATCACCACCATGCAGCTGCGCTTCCTGCTCCTGGCGGCCCTGGTGGGGACCTGCCTGGCCTCGGCCGGTCATGGCGTGAAGCACCTGACCGATGCCGACTTTGCGGAGCAGACGGGCGACGGAAAGGTGCGCTTGGCGGCCCCGATCGGGCCGATCACGTGGGTTCCGCCCGCTCGCCTCTTGCGCAACCGCGGCCCAGCGGCAGCCCCCAGCAAGATTTGGGGAGCCTGCCCGTGTCGAGGCACGGACGCGGGGGTGCCGGGCCGCTGGCTGTGGCGCGGGCCGGCAAGCCCTGGTGGCGGCGGCGCCCAACAGGCGCATTCGCCGCAGACTCACCCGGCCCTCCTCCTTGCTCCGACCCTGCTCCCTGCCTGCAGGTTTACTTCATCAAGGTGACCCCGGTGGTTTTGCAGCTGCTAGAGCAGCAGGCTTGACAGCCGTGTGCCCGCGCTGCCACACCGCGCCGTCTTCGGCGCCGCGCCCGCCCGCCCGCTGCTGCCCCTCCTCCTTTCCAACACGCCTGCCCTCCACTCCGCCCTGTTTCGCAGTTCTTTGCCCCCTGGTGCGGCCACTGCAAGGTGGGCGCGGCGCCGCCCTTCAGCCCTCATACCCAGCAGCAGCCGTTTACCCCCCTACTCCGCAACCCCGCCGCAACCCCCGCCCGCTTACCGCCCTTCTCCCGCCTCCGCCCTCCACACCCTGCAGCGCCTGGCGCCCACCTGGGACCAGCTGGCAGACTCTTTCAAGGACAGCGAACAGGTATGCTGGGGCGGGGACCGGGGTGCAGCACCCACCTCGGGTAGGCTGGGGGGCGCTGCTCACCAGCACCCACCTCGGGCCAGCACCCAGCCGCAGCCCACCTGCTGCTGGGGGCGCCCAGCGCAGCTGCGTGCTCGCTGCCTCCTGAGAGAGAGAGAGAGAGAGAGAGAGAGAGAGAGAGAGAGAGAGAGTTGGGTTTGGCGCCCGGCTTTCAGCCAGCAGCGCCCAGCCGCGTGCAGCACAGCCGCAACCCCCCCAGCCGCGCCGCATGCACCAGGGGGGTGCCGCACCGCGCGTCCCTGCCTCCCTGCCCGCCTGCCCGCCCGCCTGCCTTACCCTGCCATGCACCGCCGCTTGCCCTGCTCTGGCCTCACACACGCAGGTGGTCATCGCGTCCGTTGACTGCACCGAGCAGAAGGATGTGTGCACCGCGGCAGAGGTGGGTGCAAGGGTGCTGGCCGGTTGGTGCGTGCTGGCGTTGGTTGGTGCTGAGCGGTTGGTGGGTACTGGCGTTGGTGGGTGCTGGGTGCTGGGGGTGCGTGCTGCTGAGTGATGTGTGCACCGCGGCGGAGGTGGGTGCTGGCTGCTGGGCGGTTGGTGGGGTGCTGGTGGGTGCTGGTGGTGATGGTGGGTGCTGGGCGGATGGTGGTTGCTGGTGGCTGCTGGGTGCTGGGAGGGTGGCGGTGCTGTGCTTGACCGCCCCTGTGTGGGTGATGTGTGCGCCCAGTCCTGCCCGCCGCGCTTTCCTCCCCTCCCGCGCTTTCCTCCCCGCAGATCCGCGGGTACCCCACCCTCAAGGTGTTCCACTCCGGCGCCGAGGTGGACTCGTACCGGGGTGGGTGTACCGCACCGTACCGCACCGTACCATGCTGCCCAGCTGGAGGGGTGGGGGTGCTGATTAGTTGGGGGGGGGCCGCCAGGGGAAGCCAGCCAGTGGCTGCAGCTGCCGCCGCCCGCCGCCGCGGCCGCCGCCGAGCGCCGCCGCTGGCTGCGCGGAGGAGCGACAGCGGCCGGGAGAGGAGGCGCGCGTTGCGGCGGGCGGTTGAGCGGGCCGGGCGGGTGCTGCCTGCTGCAGGCGGGCGCGACCTTGCGGCCCTGAAAGCCTATATCCAGGAGAAGGCGCAGGTCTATGCGCCGGCGCTGGCTGCCTGACACTCACACACACACACACGCCACCCCAGCCGCCGTGCGTCCCGCTGCGCCGCCCCGCAGCTCCCGCAGCGCGCGCGCGCGCCAGGGCCCACCCGCTGTGCCTGCCCACCCGCTGTGTTTCCCCGCCGGCTGCGTTTTGTCTCCTCGGCCCGGCCTGCTCTGCCTGCCCCCTCACCAGCCCGCCGCCTCCCCTGCCCTCTGCCCCCGCCCTGTGCCCGCCTGCTGCAGGCACTCGCGACTTATCGGCCCTCAAGAGCTACATCACAGACAAGGCCAAGACCCAGCTGGAGCTCACCACGGCGTGAGGCTGAGGTGGCGCTGAGGTGGCGCTGAGGTGGCGGGCTGCTGACGTGGCGACGGGGCGGCGGCCAGCTGGCGCTGAGCTGGGCTGGAGCCGCCGGGCGCGGCCCGCGTGGCATGGGGCGGCGGCGGCGTAGCAGCGGGCAGCCGCGGGCTGTGTGCGTGCTGTGTTGTGGGGCGCCACTCCACTCTCCCGCCGCCGCAGCTGTATGCAACATGTGCACCGATGCCTCGCCTCATGCTCGTCACGTGGTGTGGCACCTCGCCTCTTACAGGCAGCATGCCCGGCTGTCATTACACACAGGCGGGGCAAGCAGCTAGGCAGGCAAGCCGGTGAAGGGCAGGCAGCAAAAGGCAGTTTGTGGCAGCAAAAGGCAGTTAGTGGCACAGGGCAGCACCAGCCGCGGACAGGGGCAGGCTGGCAGCGGCGCGAAGGGGGGCGACAGGGGGAACTCGCCAGCGCTTGCGTAACAGTACGCACCGGCAGTGTGGACCTTGTACGGCAGTGCTGGGGGGTAGGGAGGCGCTGGGAAGGGCGGCTGCCAGGGGAAGGCGCGCAGCTGCGGTGGGATTCGAGCGGTACGGCAGAGGTTGCGGCATCCCTACGGGGCACACGCCGGTACCGGACAGTGCTGCGGGAGCGTAGGGGAATTCTTTAAAAGTAGTGGGGAGGAAGCGTAGTGCGGGAGGCAGGCACACGCTCTCTTATCTCTCTCTAAAAACAAAAAAAACACAGAGAGAAGTTCGGGAGAAAAAAGCATTCACTCTGAGCTGCTGGGGCGCCGCTTGCTGTATGGGAGCGGCCCCGCACTTATCTCGGAATTGGGGAAAAGGTGGGACGCGGAGCATGCCGTAGCGGCTAATCCTGAGGGCCGAGGGGAGGAGTGCGGGCAGGAGATGCGCCCAGCTGGCGCATGCCGATTCATTCAGGACAACGCTTTTCAGCTCAATATTAATAACAACACACTTCGGTATCCGTCCGCTCGGTGTGGCTGCTCACAGGGCGGGAGCCCAGCCTGGCGCAAGTCCCAGCCAGGGCGCTCCGTCATCCAGCAGCCCGCCACCCAGCAGCGGTACGCGATACGTACCGCCAGCCGTACCGCCAGCCGCGGGCAGAGGGCCGCCCAGCAGGGCGCAGCCGGCGGGGGTGGCGGGCGGCGGCGGCGCGACAGGCGGGCAGGGCCCCTGCGGCAGAGCGGGAGGCGCAGCGGGAGGGATG